TGATGTTGTTGGTGCTGTTGTTGTCGTTGTCGTTGTCGTTGGCGTTGTCGTTGTCCTTGTCGTTGTCGTCGTTGTTGTTGTTCTCGTTGTTGTTGTGGTTGTTGGTGTTGGTGTTGGTGTTGTTCTTGTGGTTGTGATTGTGGTTGTAGTTGTGGTTGTTATTGTTGTTGTTGTGGTTGTTGTTGTTGTTGTTCTTGTTCTTGTTGTTGTTGTTGTTGTTGTTCTTGTGATTGTGGTTGTGATTGTGGTTGTGATTGTGGTTGTGATTGTGGTTGTGATTGTGGTTGTGATTGTGGTTGTGATTGTGGTTGTGATTGTGGTTGTGATTGTGGTTTGTGATTGTGGTGATGGGTTTGTTGTTGTGTTGTTGTTGTGTTGTTGTGTGTTGTTGTGTGTTGTTGTGTGTTGTTGTGTGTTGTTGTGTGTTATTGTGTGTTGTTGTGTGTTGTTGTGTGTTGTTGTGTGTTGTTGTGTGTTGTTGTGTGTTGTTGTGTGTTGTTGTGTGTGTCGTGGTGTGTTGTGTGTTGTTGTGTGTTGTTGTGTGTTGTTGTGGTTGTTGTTGTTGTGTGTTGTTGTGTGTTGTTGTGTGTTGTTGTGTGTTGTTGTGTGTTGTTGTGTGTTGTTGTGTGTTGTTGTGTGTTGTTGTGTGGTGTTGTGTTGTTGTGTGTTGTTGTGTGTTGTTGTGTGTTGTTGTGTGTTGTTGTGTGTTGTTGTGTGTTGTTGTGTGTTGTTGTGTGTTGTTGTGTGTTGTTGTGTCTTGTTGTGTGTTGTTGTGTGTTGTTGTGTGTTGTTGTGTGCTGTTGTGTGTTGTTGTGTGTTGTTGTGTGTTGTTGTGTGTTGTTGTGTGTTGTTGTGTGTTGTGGTGTGTTGTGGTGTGTTGTTGTGTGTTGTGGTGTGTTGTTGTGTGTTGTTGTGTGTTGTTGTGTGTGTTGTGGTGTTGTGGTGTGTTGTTGTGTGTTGTTTGTGTTGTTGTGTGTGTTGTTGTGTGTTGTTGTGTGTTGTTGTGTGTTGTTGTGTGTTGTTGTTGTGTTGTTGGGTTGTTGTGTGTTGTGTGTGTTGTTGTGTGTTGTTGTGTGTTGTGGTGTGTTGTTGTGTGTTGTTGTGTGTGTGTGTTGTTGTGTGCTGTTGTGTGTGTGTTGTTGTGTGTTGTTGTGTGTTGTTGTGTGTTGTGTGTTATTGTGTGTTATTGTGTGTTGTTGTGTGTTGTTGTGTGTTGTTGTGTGTTGTTGTTTGTTGTTGTGTGTTGTTGTGTTTTGTTGTGTGTTGTTGTGTGTTGTTGTGTTGTTGTTGTTGTTGTTGTTGTTGTTGTTGTTGTTGTTGTTGTTGTTGTTGTTGTTGTGTGTTGTTGTTGTTGTTGTTGTTGTTGTTGTTGTTGTGTGTTGTTGTTGTTGTTGCTGTTGTTGTGTGTTGTTGTTGTTGTTGTTGTTGTTGTTGTTGTTGTTGTTGTTGTTGTTGTTGTTGTTGTTGTTGTTGTTGTTGTTGTTGTTGTTGTGTTGTTGCGTGTTGTTGTGTGTTGTTGTGTTGTTGTGTTGTTGTTGTGTTGTTGTTGTGTTGTTGTGTGTTGTTGTGTTGTTGTGTTGTTGTTGTGTTGTTGTGTGTTGTTGTGTTGTTGTGTTGTCGTGTTGTTGTGTTGTCGTGTTGTCGTGTTGTCCTGTTGTCCTGTTGTCGTGTGTGGTATGTTGTGTGTTTCGTGTTGTCGTGTTGTCGTGTTGTCGTGTGTGTTGTGTGTTGTGTGTTGTCGTGTTGTCGTGTTGTGGATCGGAAGCCCAAAACATCGGTATTTACGATGTTTTTTGCCTCTGGTAGCAAAAAACACCGTAAATACCAATGTGTTGCATAGATCGGAAGCCCAAAACCACGGTATTTACGATGTTTTTTGCCTCTGGTAGCAAAAAGCACGGTATTTACAGTGGTTTTTGTTCAGCACCTAGCAAAAACACTGGTATTTACGGATGTTTCACCATATAACAAAATGTGGTTTCTTGATCCGAAAAGAACAAAAATACTGTAAATTACAATGTTTTGAGTCTGCTCTTAGGGTGCGTTGGAGGCGTGGAGGGGGGGTGGAGGGGGGGGTACTAAAATGACTAGCAATCTCCTGAATAATCAGGTAACGGGGCTGGCCGCCCTCCCCTTTACTTCGTAAAGTAAAACTCAAGGTAGCCCCTCTGGAGCTACCTTTCGTGATTTACCCAGATATATGGTCCATATTTCTACATCATATTGCAGTGTGTCAAAACCTTGTACCCCTGATGAACATCAAAATAGCTGGTAAATGGATGTTCATTCCCCTAAAAATGGTATCTATAGGTATTGATCCATACCCATTTCTACATCATAAGTAGTCATCACATGTCATCACAACTCACCGCAACCTCTCGCCTGGTTGGGTTGGAGCAATGTAATGATCCAGGCTTCCACCCGTTTCTGACGTCGTCAGTGGCCACAGTGGCCACATGGAACACACATGAAACACGATTTGTTGCTGCTTGGTGGTTTCAAACCCTCTGAAAAAAAATAGATTATTAGTCAGTTGGGATGATTCTTCCCAATAATTATAGATGGAAAAATAACAAATCTTCCAAACCACCAACCAGGTTGAAATTGTTGAAGGGCACAGGATTGTCATTTTCGCATCGCGCTGGTGGATTTTTCCGATGCTCGTTGACACGTTGACTGGTGGTTTTTCAGCTCGGGTAACCAGGCCTTTCTCTCTGAGGAGGATGTTTCTAGCTTTGTCCAGCTGCATGCTGATCAAGTAACCTGGTGATTTCACCAAATTGCCAAAGAAACCTTTCACAGAGATAGAGCGGCAAAACTGGCAAAACCAAACAATGAAAATCAATGAAAGATGAACATCCACTGAATCCACTACCAATATCTGCCAATGAGGTGAAGAAAGAAAGTTTATGAAAGTTTCAAGGTCAACAGCGGTGCCCTTTCAGGCACATCCACCGAGGCCTTTCCACAAAGCAATTGCACCCAACCTTGGAGTTAATAGAATGCGAAAATTGGTCGGAACATCCAGGCGAAACTGCACAAGAAACTGCGGAAGAAAGGCAAACATAGCTAGGTGTTGAACAGCACCAGGTAAAAGGTAAAGAGTCCTAGTTGAAGTTGAAATCATTTGACAACCAAACTCATGACCATGACCTTTCCAGACTTCTTCTTAAATGTCGTGTGATCAGATTTCTTGAGGTCACGGTGTCAGCCTGTGGTTCAGTCCTCCAAAAAACCAGCTGATGTTGGTGTCCCACAACGCAGCAAACACCTCAGAAAAAACATCCACTCGGTTTTTATGGCTTTGCTGAGATGGGAGGCTGAACTGGCAGTGTGTCAAAACCTTGTACCCCTGTAGTTCACATCAAAATAGCTGGGTTAAAATGGATGTTCATTCCCCTAAAAATGGTATTTTCAGAGGTATTGATCCATAGCCAACTGGGATCACTACCATGGTGGCCAAGAAAAGATACCACATACCTGACACGTCCGTATCGCTTCGATTCAGCCAGCCATCCAAGAAGGAACCTAGCCTCGTCCCATGAATCGAGTCCTTGGATGCTTGTGACATCTCCCAGTCTTTAAAAGTCGCATCATATGGAGGGATTATGAAGGGTCAAAACATGTCAAAACCTTGTAATCCGGCTAAATATGTTCCTAAACTACCCACCTGCTCCTTGGAAATCTCTTTGCTATGCAACCTCCTTGAAACCAAATTGTTGCCTTTCATCTCCATTGGCAATTGTTCAACAACTGTCTGAGGCATTGGCATGAAAAGGACAAATTTGTAGCAGTGGTCCCTGGTGCTAACCAAGTTCCTGAGCACAGGTGGGTTCTGGTCAGGAGCATCCAGCTGAGCAGCTGGGCAAATGCGCGCATGCGCTAGCCGCTAGCGCTCGTTGAGGTTGAGGCGGCCAATCCCGTTGGGTGGGATTTGGGATCGGAAAGTCCAGCACCTGGGCAAAACACTCCAGAGTTTCCGCGCGATCGAAGTGAACCATGACAGTCACAGCATTCTCTTGACCATGTGGCAAAGTTCAGGCACTTGGGGTCTCAAAGAATTTGATGAAGACTAATTATTCAACGTTTCCATCTTTGATAGCTGCTGATCAATTTTGACCCCAAGTTGATTTCGAACTGCCACTCCTATCCACTCCTTTTGTCCGCAGGCGACGTCTTGCATCATGCGCCAACCAGCTTGTGACTACCAACGCGATCCCTGGGAATCAGCTTCAAATCAGCGCCGTGCTTCAGGAAAACGGCCCCCGCAGTTTGGTTCGGATTCAAACCAACTCCATCGTTGGTGATGACTGCGCTTGTCGATGGGTTCACCTCAGAGAGTAGCGCTCCACATGTCAGCCAAAAAGCATCCTGATGTATCCAGCATCAGAGTGACACTGCGGAAGAATCTCCGGAGGACAAAACAATAGAATATACATATACATATATCATCCTAAAGTAACATGTATTTATATATATATATTATAATAATCACATATATATAATATAAATTAATATAAAAGATCATTTGACACAACCTCCTGAAATTTCGTCGACGAACCTTGAACTCCTCCGCAGAGAATTTCACCACCGCAAGGAAGGGGGCTTCTTCTGGGACGGTAATCACCTAGATTCCCCCAACGAAAACAAGCAACGGGAGCAACGTGGCTCAACCTGTGGACTGACAAACCCCAGGAGATTGGATAGAACCCAAGTAGAACCCCGAGATTTTCATCAACCGACAGGGGGCTATGAGTGACTCATATGTTACAAGGAGAGGTCTATAACGGGGACAAATTGACTATATTGATCACTGTCATGAATCAAACTGCATCAAGTTGATGACATTCCTGAAAATAATGTTCGTGGAACCGATTCTCCGCCTTATACGGCTGAGTCTTCTCCGATGCCAGAGTGATCTTAAAGCTCACTTTTGGTTTTGCGGCCATGGCGTCGAGGACTCTTATGATCTTGAGCCCAAGATGACATGGCAGATGCATGAGTCAATGAGGGACAGTATACCAACATATAGCAAGATGATTAGGATTGACTAGGTATACCGCAGGCAGTGCAAGCAGTCCACAAAATAAAAAGCGAGAGATTGATGAACACAAGCAATGAAACATCGTTGCAAGCTTGTGCAGAATTTGTCCATGTTGATAGCATCCGTCTGGGCACAGGCACCACCATCAAAACCCCGAAGAGCAAAAGGAACAACGTGGTCATAAACTGAGCCGGAGCCTTGGAATATCTTCGAATATCGGTGACTACTGGAATTCTCAAAGGGCTCCTAAAAAGTGTCAAGTGAACAGCTGTGCTTGGTAAGGGCACTACCCATTGCAAATGAAGAATCCTGCGCCCAAACGGCAAGTTTGAATTAAATCGGCTGAGAGTGGGAAGGCAAGACATTGATGAACATTGGAGTTGCACCACAGTCCAGAACAAGGTGCAGGACACTCCAGTCACCAGGACAATCAGAGATCCTGCATTCGTGTCATGTGGCACAGGCGGTTGACATCTGCTGACCAAGCTGTTCTCAGGCCAGCCTATAAAGAAGAACAGCTTCCATTTCATGGTTTTCTCGATGCCAGCAACTCCCTGCGCGTGTTGCATGGTGTTGCATGGTGTTGCTAGATGTTCCAACTTCTTCTGTCTTCTTTCTCTTGAATCTTCTGCACAAGCCGTTGAGTGTGTCGGCCTGCCCTCCAATGAGGCCCTGCCCATCCATCCTGTAGGGCGCAAGCTTCAATCTGTCAGCAATGCAGCTTGACATTGCGATCAGTGGGATCAGTCCCATATGCTCCATGTATGGTATATTTTCCTACATTTGGGTGATTTCTAGGGCAAATGTTGGTAAATATTCCATACATCATACATGGAGCATATGGGAGTGGTTGCAGCGAAGTTCATTGCAGAAAGACGGGCTTCCGACCCAGCCGCGGCCACACCGCCGCTATTGGTTTCGGTGGTGAACATTGCTCCTCAACACACTGCGATGAAGCATGACATGGTAAAATTCTCTGCCAAACCGAGAGCCGACCGAGAGCACCCCGTCCTTGGAAAGAAGCCTCTGGCCACTCTGGCCCCCTCTATAAGTCTTTGAAGCTAATGGCGATTGGCCGGAGAATGTGCAACAACATTGAATCACCGAAACGTCCTTGAATCACCGAACAAATCCTTATGACCTGTAGAAACAAGAGTGTTTTCGTCCTTTGCCCAGATTTAGTTCAGTGCAATTTTCACTCGAAAAAGTGCCCTTCTGATCCATGTAAAATCCGAACAATTCCAAACATGGCTCCCATGCAACATCCCACACAACCACACGGGTCTCCCATGACCTCTAGCCCTGCCATAGACGTGATTCTGTTGTTCTGCAAGTACAGCTGCTGCAAACGCCTCTTCTCAACTTAGAAAGGTTCAAACGAACATTAAATACCCTCTGGCTATTTAACATAGCTATGGAAAATGGCCCTTTTTTTTCAGATGATTTTCCCAGCTAGAAACCTCCATTTATTTGTGGGATTTTCCATGGCTATGTTAGTCATAACCAGATGGTAATTTCATGTAATTTCAAATATATCCAAATCGGATGTCCGACTATTGGAAGACAGCCGCTTGCCTGTCAAACGCAAGAAACATCAAGAAACCGTCCCTGTTCTCCCTGGGAGAAACTATCGTTGAACATGTCAGAACCGCAGGCAGCAAAAAACAGCCAGGGCCTCAAATTCTGAATGCCAGAAAGGCTGACGATCAGATTGTCATATGCATACCTATGTATTCATAGGGCAAGTCCGAAGTCCTCTGGCCCTCGGAACAAGTGGGACCCCGAAATCCAGGAGTTTCACAACATGTCCCATATGTCCCTATCAAAAGAATCTAAACATTGTTATCTTAAGTGATTTTCAGGTCGTCCAGAACACAGCTGTGTATGCCGTTGTGTGTGCTCTGCTCACAAGATCTCAAAAGATGCGGGAGCACAGGACGTAGACGGCAGGCACCAATCGCAAACCTTCTAGGTCTGGTCCAATTCGCTTGTCTTAGCCAACACGTGGGCAAGAACAATCACACGTACAATGATATACACATGGAACCTGACCACAATATTAATATATATATATACACTTATAATCACTTATATATGGTGTTCGAAGGTGTTCAAAGGTGCTTAACTACCCACTTTTGGGTTTGAACTGTAGTATTACACGGAGGGTTGCAAACTCTTATGTAAATGTTATGGGTTCATCACTGCGCGGAAAATGCTGACCAATGTGCACCTTAGAGCCTTAGATCTGACTCACTTTTTGGAGCAACTGATTCCGATTATCGAAAATCCGTTGACGTTGTCAACTATTAAATTCTATTACAAGTACTAGCACATTGATCAGAAATCAATCGAAACAAATGTATATATATTATATATATATATACATCTCTCTCGCGGTAGTTGAACATGGACACAATCTGTAAATTTTCTGCGGACCGGACTCTGAATCTGCAAATGTGTCAATTTCTGGTTGAAGGCCTCTTGGCTCAGGTTGCCTCGGTTCGCCTGGGCGGGTTTTTAAGGCACTGAATATCCCATAGGATCCATGTATGCTATATGTGGTAACATTTACCATCAATATACCCCAAATGTTAGCATATATACCAGCACCATGGATCCTATGGGTATCCATGAACTTGAAAAAACATCAGGAATGCTTCCCGTTTGGAAAAATGAAACACTTCAACCCACTCTGTCTTGGAGCCAAACGTTGGTGGAGAAGGTTATGACCTGCCAGAGAGGGGTCTGACATCAGAGGCGCAGTTACTTCCAGAAAAGTTCCAATGATTCCTGGCCTGGCAGAATAATTTCGTACTTCACCTAACATACATATATTATTATTATATATAAATATGTTATAATGCATATACATTTACATGTGATATATTTATAAGACATACACACATAACATACACACATAATCAATCACATCATGCATAATATGAATGGACATCGCCGTCACTTCAACGCGCCTCTTGGGTCAAAGGCTGTCCCCGGGCCCGAGGAGCTGAAGCAACAGATGGAGTGCAAGTACCTGAGCTGAGAAACCTTGGGGATATCATGGGAACTCTACAGGATATTTGAATAACTATAACCAAGTAATATTTCATAATGCACATGTAAATATATGTATATATATTAATATATTAATATATTAATATAATTTATGTTAGTGGATGTCTGAAAATGAGGTATACATAGGTATACCATGTTATACCCCCATGAAAATTTCAACCACTGGATCCCAGAGATGCTACTGAGCTTCTGACTGCTGACTGGTACCCTGTTGGCCTTGTCGCTTTCCTGCGACAGACAGCGCAAGAGCGATGGCAAAAGGCTGCAGTCATATGCAATATTTGAATATATATATATATATACGTATATACATATACAATGATACATATTATATAATGTTGGCACCTGATTAGTAGCATGGTACTCTATTGTGGCAAACTTTTTCCTCCTTATTCAGTAACCTGCTGTTTGGTGGGGGGGGGCCTCTATTGTGGCAAATGTTTTTCCAGATTTTTTTAAAAAAATTGTTCCTAATTAATTAATTATTTTTTGAAATTATTTTTAAATTGGTTACTTAAAAATGTTTTTCTGTTTTTCATTTTTTTAAATTAAAGCTTTCAAATGCAAGGTTTTCCAAATAATTAGATGCCTTATTAAACCCTTATTAAAAAACAGCATCCAGACAATTTTTCAAGGTGGTACCCCATGAGTGGCTGAGTTACTCAATAATATGAATGTTTGGATGGTACTCTATTGTGCCCAACAACTTTTGGGGTTGAAAAAAAATCAAAAACCCTTTCTCCACCTTTCTTTGAGTAAAGCTGGTCCATTTACTTTAGGAAACCATATTTGTGTCAAAGCTTTAAAATGCAAGGTTTTCCAAATAATTAGATGCCTTATTAAACCCTTATTAAAAAAACAGCATCCAGACAATTTTTCAAGGTGGTACCCCATGAGTGGCTGAGTTACTCAATAATATGAATGTTTGGATGGTACTCTTTTGTGCCCAACCACTTTTGGGGTTGAAAAAAAACAAAAACCCTTTCTCCACCTTTCTTTGAGTAAAGCTGGTCCATTTACTTTAGAAAACCATATTTGTATTAAAGCTTCAAAATTCAAGGTTTTCCAAATAATTAGATGCCTTATTAAACCCTTATTAAAAAAACAGCATCCAGACAATTTTTCAAGGTGGTACCCCATGAGTGGCTGAGTTACTCAATAATATGAATGTTTGGATGGTACTCTATTGTGCCCAGCAACTTTTGGGGTTGAAAAAAAAACAAAAACACTTTCCCCACCTTTCTTTGAGTAAAGCTGGTCCATTTACTTTAGGAAACCATATTTGTGATAAAGCTTTAAAATGCAAGGCTTTCCAAATAATTAGATGCCTTATTAAACCCTTATTAAAAAGCAGCATCCAAACAATTTTTCAAGGGTGTACCTCATGAGTGGCTCAGTTTCTCAATAATATGAATGTTTGGATGGTACTCTTTTGTGCCCAACAACTTTTGGGGTTGAAAAAAATCAAAAACCTTCTCCACCTTTCTTTGAGTAAAGCTGGTCCATTTACTTTAGAAAGCCATATTTTTGTTAAATCTTTAAAATGCAAGGTTTTCCAAATAATTAGATGCCTTATTAAACCCTTATTAAAAAACAGCATCCAAACAATTGTTCAAGGTGGTACCCCATGAGTGGCTCAGTTACTCAATAATATGAATGTTTGGATGGTACTCTATTGTGCCAAGCAACTTTTGGGATTGAAAAAAATCAAAAACCTTCTCCACCTTTCTTTGGGTAAAGCTGGTCCATTTACTTTAGAAAGCCATATTTGTGTTAAATCTTTAAAATGCAAGGTTTTCCAAATAATTAGATGCCTTATTAAACCCTTTTTAAAAAACAGCATCCAAACAATTTTTCAAGGTGGTACCCCATGAGTGGCTC